GGCTAACTGCATCTCCTGCTGTACCTGTAACAATTTAATTGTATAAGTCAGCCTAGTCAAGCATCTCCAGCTCATGACTGGGAGACATGAAATTCATTGTCATTATTGTCCCTGTCATTTTGGATCATTATATCCTGCTGCAGAATTTTCCTCACTTCAGTGCATTTTTACCTCCAGGAGCCAGGGATTATAGCTGAGGTTGGGGTGGGGGCAGGACCGTGAACTACATTTACCTCGGGGGAGCCAGAGATTAAATTGGCTTTGCTCTCTCACAAGCTGAATTCATCTATTTGTATGCTGTGAGTTTTAGGTTGGAATAAAAATGAATATTCTAGTGAAACTTGGGTTTCAATTCCCCCTTTGAAACATGGCTGTAACCAACTTTTATTTACATTAGGAAAGCCAATGTAATTTCTCGCAGGTTGCTATTTTCATATGTGCATAAGGAATACTTAAGGGCATCATCGAGTATGAAATAACAGATATCTCTCTTTGTCACTGCTGGGACTCTCAGAAGGAAGGATTTAAAGCTGTAATTTTGTTCTCCAGTTGCATCTTACAGAAGCTTAATGGGGGTATCTTATGGTTTTAAATATTTAATGATTTTTAATTATATCTCATTTTCTGTGTACTGGATTGGATGAGTGAAGTTCAACTAGAATGGCAGCAAAGATCTCTAGGATCAAGCAGAGTAAAGTTGAGGAAGACAAGTGAGTTTCTGAGGAAACTGGCAAACAATCCACATCTGGCTCAAGAACCTCACAGCCTGCCAAGTCACCTGAGCCTGTCGTGCCTTAAACATTTCTTGCTGATGTGGGAAGAGCTCCACCAGTCACCAACATATACATGGACACCCACGATCAGTGGTCCTGGCTACAGACCGGCACAGCTGGTCACTCTCTGGTAGGACAGGAAGAGGGACAGAGTAAAAACTCTAGACTTGTCTCAGGCAGAAAACCAGTGAGATGACTATTGTTTTCTCTAACATAATATAAAAAAGAAAATATAACCTGGTATGTCACTTCCTACCCCAACTTTCACTTCATAGGGATTTTACTGAAAGATCTGACATCTACTTTGTCTATACAGTTTGTGAGGTCGCAAAGAGTCAGACATGACTGCGCATAGCATGGCATACTGAAAAAAGATGGTAGTTATTCCTCCACATATGTGAGTTTGTTTTTCAGAGATTAACAAAATATGGCAAGCACAGAGCAGCCATTGTAATTACCACATTAACAGAATCCCTTTGCTCTACACCTGAAACTAACATGACACTGTAAACCAACTATATTCCAATTAAAAATAATAATAAAAGATACTCTCTGCCCTACAGCCATCAAGCTCGAATCCTACCCTCTTTCCTATTTCTTCACAACCAGAGTGTTTCCATATCTGTGTAAATATGACTAATCAGGACATTTCATATAGATGAATCATGTGAAAAAAAGAAAGTATGTGGTCAAAGATGTAAACTTCTAGTAACAAGATAAATAAGTTCTGGGGATGTAATATATAGCACGTTGTGCTGTGCTGTGCTTAGTCACTCAGTTGCGTCTGACACTTTGGATCCTGTGGACTGTAGCCTACCAGGCTCCTCTGTCTACGGCAATTCTCCAGACAAGAACATTGGTGTGGGCTGCCAGGCCCTCCTCCAGGAGATCCCAACCTAGGGATTGACCCAGGTCTCCCGCACTGCAGAAAGATTCCTCATTATCTGAACCATCAGGGAAGCCCAAGATCACAGGAGCGGGTGGCCTTTCCCTTCTCCAGGGGATCTTCCCGACCCAGGGATCAAACTGGGGTCTCCTGCATGGCTATGTTGTTGTTATTGCCAAGAAAGGTTTATCTTATAAATTACAGTGTTCAGAATTCAATTGCAATGGTATATGCTTAAGTATTTTTTCCTTTCTGAAGTACTTTGGTAGCAGGATAATAATGCTATTTTTCTGGTTAAAGAGTAAGTCATCCTTTTCTTTCTCTGAGCACACATTTATCACATTTAATTCCTTTCTATATGCTCCTTTCTACCTTATTTCCATGTTGTTATTTAATTTGTTCATCACACCATTAGGTTTAACAAGAGTTGCCTACCTGTGAATACAGCTGTGATACTGTAGAACTACATTGTTTCACATTGCTGTTTTGTCTTGCCTCAAGCATGACATGGTTGGACCTACATCATTTCAGAACAAAATTAAAAAACTATTTCCAGTGACTAGAATGATTTTTACTTTTTCAAGACTTGGGTTTCACAATCAATTTTCAATTTGAATTTCTTTTAAATAATAATTTTTTGGTCTCTTTTTCGTGGCACCTCGGAGGCTGTCGGCCACTTCAGAATGAAGCTGAACATCTCTTTCCCGGCTACTGGCTGCCAGAAGCTCATTGAAGTGGACGATGAATGAAAACTTCGTACCTTCTACGAGAAGCGTATGGCCACAGAAGTTGCTGCTGACACTCTGGGTGAAGAATGGAAGGGTTATGTGGTCCGAATCAGTGGCGGGAATGATAAGCAGGGTTTCCCCATGAAGCAGGGTGTCTTGACCCATGGCCAAGTTCGCCTGCTACTGAGTAAGGGGCATTCCTTACAGACCAAGGAGGACTGGAGAGGGAAAGCGCAAATCTGTACGGGGTTGCATTGTGGATGCCAATCTGAGTGTTCTCAACTTGGTCATCGTGAAAAAAGGGGAGAAGGATATTCCTGGACTCACTGATACTACAGTCCCTCGTCGCCTGGGTCCCAAAAGAGCTAGCAGAATTCGCAAACTTTTCAATCTCTCTAAAGAAGATGATGTCCGCCAGTATGTTGTGCGAAAGCCCCTAAACAAAGAAGGTAAGAAACCTAGGACTAAAGCACCCAAGATTCAGCGTCTCGTGACTCCACAAGTTCTGCAACACAAACGCTGGCGTATTGCTCTGAAGAAACAGCGTACTAAGAAAAACAAAGAAGAGGCTGCAGAATATGCTAAACTTCTGGCCAAGAGAATGAAGGAGGCCAAAGAAAAATGGCAGGAACAGATTGCCAAGAGACGGAGGCTGTCCTCTCTGAGAGCTTCTACTTCTAAGTCTGAGTCCAGTCAAAAATGACATGTTCCAAGAGTAACAAATAAATAAGATCAGACATCAAAAAAAAATAATAATAATAATTTTTAAACTTTTCAGTAATCTTTGCTAAACTCATAATTTTGCAGTCTGTAACAAGCTATAAAAGCCAATTGTAGATTAAAGAAATCCTCCTTCCTCTGATTTTAATATGATAATGTTTTTCCTGCATTATGTGACATAGATTTCCCTTGGTTTCTCTATGTAGAATCAGTAAGAATCTATAATTCATAACACTATCAAACCAACATAAGACAGGACACCACAAATTCAGATATGACATCCACTAATATTCCCCTCAAGGAGATTCAGATATGCACAAGCTAAAAAATAAAAATAATAAATAAAAGTAGTTTGTGTTCAATAGATCACATGGTAAAAAAAATGGCCAAGTACTTGAGAGAGTTTGCATGGGAGGGATTAAAATTAAGAGGCAAAGGGCACAAACATTTCCATGGAAGGATGGGCAGAGGTCCATTTGCAGAATGCCTTCTGATTCCTCCTGCACCAAAAACCTCTTTAATGTAAGCACCCAACAAACTACAATGGAGTAACGTTAAGGGTTTGAAGAAGGGAAAGAAAATTCAGTTAAGATTGTCCTTTAACATGAGATTCAATGAGGGGCACCAAAAAAGTAGTTAAGTGCCCCCCTGTGGTGTTTAGATGCTGCAAGGCACTGTAAACTGTGCATTTTCTGGCTTTTAACATTTGTCAAAGACCCTTAACATTTTTCTAATATTGTTGCTCCTAACATATCTTCTTGAGTTTGTCCCCATTGCCCCATCTGCATGTATACATTTTGCATTCATACATGAAAGCCCGACAGACAGCTAAACTGATTCAGAAACCTAACGCTGCGGAGAAACAAAGCGGGTAGCCTAAAAGATATCCCGTATTATGAAGTATAAATATCAAAGTCTCCTGAAAAAAGAAAAACACAAAACATTTCTTCATACTAAGAGTTTAGATATCTAACACTAAATATGTAAGATCACATAGTGGGATTTTAACAACTCACTTCGCTATAGGGCCTAAGCTGTCCTTTGTGCCACAAAATTTCTAAGACTTTTTGAATGTGCACAGTTATCTGTGTCCAGCTATTTATTTATAAACAGAAATTCCTGGACTATTTTCCATTTCCATTCTCCCTTAAAAGCCACAGTAAAATTTCACAAACAGCTTTTCCTGTGATGTGTGTTGTATTGTGGTTCATCTGGAGCTATGTTAAGTGGTTAGTTCCTTCAAATAAAAGTGTACAAAACTGTATTGTTAACACATACACAAACACAGTGAATGAACACTGAACACAAGGCAAATGGGTACTAGATAATGTTACTGTCAGAAAACATCTAATAACAATAAAAGAAGCATTAAAAACTGAGGGACTGAAGAAAAAAAAAATAAGAACGGACTGGTTTAACAGATGCAATGTTCATCTACCTTCATCACATAAATTATATGTTCAAGAATTGTGTCCTGTGCAAAATATGAACATGTCCATTTCAGCCCAGAGGCATTTTTCCCTAGGCTTATAACCCCTTGAAAATAGAGGTTTCATCTAGAAAACCTAACAGATCCTCAGCTGCTTTCAACATTATAATATATTCATAAGGCAAGCGTTCACTGGCAAACATATAACAAATTAAATGGCATGAAGGTGGGGCCCAAAATGCACAATGATGGAAAACGGACCAAGCCAACCATGAGATTCAAAGTCGAAGGAATATTCAAGATCGAGCGATATTAAAAGCAAAACACTATGTGCAGAGTGCACATGTGTGTTTGTGTGTTGTGTAATATTAGCATTAATTAGTATGCAAAACTATCTCATTAAGAATACACTGTAAGGGTCAGGACTGAGAGAAAAGTATCCTGAAAAAACAAAAATCACGTACCATCATAGTAGACAATTGCTCCTACTAGTTTGTCCTTCTGGAGCATTGGGAAATGCTCAAGGGCTCTTGATTTGCTGAGGACATAACTGCTTTTCAGGCAATTACTTCCAGCAACCAGATCATATAGCTTGATTCCTATCCAGTAGTATGGTAACTGCCACCACCTACAGCATAAAGAGGGGAAAAGGTTTCTTTATAAACAGAGTATAACATTATAGAATGTCATTTATAAGACACTTTTTATTAAGAAAAGCAAAGTATATCTACAAGTGTACTGCATAAGAAACAAGAGAAGTGCCTTCCTGTTCTGAGATCAGCTCAGCTGAATTACATACATAAACGAATCATCTCGGAGGCAGTGGTTCTGGACCCGACTGCATATTAGACTTTCTAGGGAGCATCAAAAATAAACATAACTGCCTGGATCTTGTGTTCCTAGAGATTAAGTGAACTAGACTAGGGCAAAGACCAGAGTGACTCTAATGTACACCCAGGGTAGAGACTCATTGGCTTAAGGTGTCTCAAACCATCTATGACAAAATATGGACAAAAATTATAAAATCTGTTTCTAGACTCCACAAAACACTCATGCAGCTAACAGAGCTACATAATCCTGTATTTACTATTGTCTGTATTCCAGTTTAAGTCAACTTGATGGATAGCTCTAACAATATTCAGAAAATTGGGTTTAATAATTTACGATTATCTGACACCTACAAACCAAATTTCAGGTTTGGTTAACTCAGAAATTTAAAATGACACAAAATGGCTTAGGGTTTGGAGTTGATATATGTCAGTTCAGATTTCGCAGCAGGATACATCCTGGCTCTGCATTTTAGCCTGCAAATGACCCTCTTATATTTCCCAGTGCAAATGCAGTTGTTCCTCTATGTACTCTCAGAAACTGGAGTTTAAAAGGACTAATTATAAAAGCAGAACACAAGCCACTTTGCCTTCAAGATCTAGCCCTCAGAGGTGAGTTGGCAGAGAGCAATTTAGGAAAAGTCACACTTTTTAAAATACAACAAAGGAAAATATTTTAAAAGGATTAAAGATTAGGACTAATTACAACTACTTTAAGAAATACACATTGAGGAACTTCTGTCATTAAAACTGGGTTGTTCTATTGGCCTCAGATAAGCAAAGAGTATACTGATGGTACCAAAAGGCTTACTTGTAAATTGGAAGCATAATAGGCAATGGGGCTGATAAATGGGGAGCAATTTCCAGCAGGTTGGCACGCTCATGAAGGGCTTCTTTTACCATCCTGTACTGAAAAGCAAAACAGAGAAAATTAGTTTGGCAGTAACAGATCATAATATTTTCAAATGGCAAATAGACACCCTGCCAACTGATTGATACACAGAAACCTCTCTACCTCTGAGTGAGGATGGCTCCCTCCTAATCAAATTTCTAATAATACATCATGCTGTCAACCTGAAAGATTTTTTAGAAACCTTAACTGTATTTGCATAGGAGAAAAACATGCTGCCAGAGTTCCCAGGTGTAAGATATTTTCCTGACTTGAGTTACAAGATTATTGTAACAATTTATCTTGCATTGTCTGTATTGTCCCTTTTCTCAGTCCCCCATAATATTTTCTCATGTAAGAGATAACAGATTGTTCAAATTCATGTTAAACGTTTTCTTTTTGCCTCCACTAGCCCAAAGAGACATAGTACTTAGGAGTTGCATGGTATTTTGTAAATGATCATGAAAAAGCTTTTGTCTTTAGTCTTCATTATCCCTCTCTGAAGACCCAGCATTACTATCCTAATACTAATTTTTACAAATGAGAAAACTGAGGCTTATAGAAACTGAATAAATAAGTTACAGCACATCACAAGCCATCTGATTCTAAACCCTATGCTCTTTTCTTTACGTCCATCATGGTCCTAAACAGACATGTAAGAAAAGGGGACAGAGTCAAAACTGACAATGTCAAGTTAGTGCTGCTGTGTTTTTCATGGACGAGAAGCAGATAGGGAGTTCAGCTGATTTTTTTTTTTTTACCCCCTCTGGGAAATGTCATCTTCCACACTGCCTTGGCAGTTTTCAAATGGTGGCAGACTGGACACAACAAAGTGTGACATAAAAAAAAAACCATGACTCAGATCATCTTTTTCTTCAGAATATGTCAGTGACAATATGCAGTGTGACTGCATTTGCAGTTAAGATCAGTTTAATACTCCTCATGTATTACAACAGAGCTCCTCTGAACCCGCTTGGGAAGTAGCAATTGGGTGACCATTGGTCAGAAAAACAAAACAAAAAACAATCACAACTGTTAAAAGGTAACACATCCAAAAGTGATTTTGTAAATCTGCTACTTTGACATGTCTGTGTAGAACAGGACCCTGGTTACTCATGAACGTGTTGCTACTGGAAAAAACAACAACAAAAAAAACCTGACATGCCTCTCCTGAAAGACACTCCAGCAGAATACACTAAATAGGTATTTCCAATAGGAAGAAATGTTAAAGGCCATTAAAAGAAAAAAAAAAAAAAAAAACTGATTTAATTGGGTAGAAAAAAAGCATAGTAACAATTTTTGTTTAACAACCAGCATACACAATTACCTGCTCAATATCCAACTTCATGATAGCCTTCTGAAGATATCTCACACCACCATGGATCAATTTAGTGCTTCTGCTGCTGGTCCCCGATGAGAAATCATCTCTTTCTACAAGGGCTGTTTTTAGTCCTGTGTAACCAGAAAACCAAATTAACTTCTTAAATTACACAATTTGTATGTAATTCATTAAAGGCACTTCTCCAGGGTAGAGACAATCACAAGAAAAATTACTCTGAACATGGATAAATTTGTATTCAAAGTGCAGTACACTGTCTATATTATAATGAAGAGATTTTAGTCTCTTCCTGGGGGAAAAGTCAAACCAGAACTAGAAGCATATTAAACTGTGAATGAATCACAACTAGAAAATATTACAGTGCAATTTCATGGCAGTAATATACTCTGGTGTGTTTCTAGGGTTGAAGGGAAGACTGGCGTCCATCTTTATCCATGTAGAGCTAACTCAGGATTATTACGATGCCTTCTGGAACTGACTAACTCCTCACTACAAGAGTCCAGACATGTGCCAGCCTCTCGACTTCAGTGAACTCTAATGCACGTGCACATGTGTTAAGTTACTTCAGTCATGTCTGACTTTTTGTGACCCTATAAACTCTAGCCCACCAGGTTCCTCTGTCCATGGGATTCTCCAGGCAAGAATCCTGGAATGGATTGCCATTGCCCTCCTCCAGGGGATTTCCTGACCCAGGGATTGAACCCACGTCTCTGGCACTCCCTGCATTGCCAGGCAGATTCTTTACCACTAGCGCCACCTGGGAAGCCCCAACTCTAACGCATCAACCATGAATCTAGACTAGCCATCTACATGCACGTTCCTCTTGCCAGAGTGGTGTGAGAGTGGGTATAAAACAGGAAAAGAGATCAGGAAAATAGATCAAAGACCTCAAATCAGAAGGAAAAAAGAAGAGGATGACCTCTGATGTTGAGTTCACAGTCTAACTGAAGACATGCAAGCACAATACTGTAGAATTACAAAGAAAAATACATGTCAGGACAAACGAACCCAGTACAGAATAGCCATGAGTAAAGACAATATTCTTGGGAAAGATGAGGCTGAATAAGGACAAGTCATTCCACCCTCCCTTCTCTTTGAGAGTTGCAATAAACCTCTTAGGAATGAAATAAGTTTTGTTTTGTTTTCTTGCAGACACACCTCTGCCTCTTCAGGATTGGGAGGACCAACAGTACTATGAGTCCCATACGCTAGTTACAGATGAAATCCAAAACTTCAAAAGACCCAAAGTATACATCAACACGAAGCCAGGAGGAATTTTCATGGCTTGGCATACTCTTGGGGGATGAGAGAATGTCATAGAGTCCAATTACAATGAGAATATGTAACTGGAGCGGTTTGGGCTCACAAAGCTCATATAAGAGAACCTGTGCATGCATTCAATTCAGAGCCATTTATTACATTTAATACCAAAGGGTCGTTTTTATAACTTTTTAACAGTTTAAATATCGTACCCAAATGTCATCATAAAATCAGGGCAATTCCCTTGACTCCAAAGGACAAAATATTTGGCAACTGTGGAGAGAAAAGTAGAGAACTTTGATTCAAGGGCAAAACTGCTAATGCTCTAATGAACTAGCAAAATAACACAGAAATTACAGGTATCATAGATCCAGGTCACTCTTTTTAAGCATTTATGCCAGAAAAAGATCTGTAGAGTTCTCAACTATGAAAATGCTACCAATGTTTAGCTAATTTGGTACAGGATGTATTAAACACAAAAATATTTCATGTTAGTACATATTTTTGAGAGCCTAAGTGCCAGCAAAAGTGCTGGTGTTAGAAATAAAGTAGACACAGACCAAGCTATTAAGTAGCTCCCAACCAAAAGAGAGGTAAGTGAACAAAATGAAGCAAAGTTTCATGGGTGTTTCATCTGAAAATGCAGTGGACTCTTATCTTAAAGGCAGTCAAAAATTAAACTCAGAATATAAACCCCAAATTGCTTAGTGGCGATTACATTCGCAATCTCTTTAAGAATGCACTGTGTTGGTAAGTTCTATCAACTTTACTTAGTAAATCCAACACAGACTTCTCCTTCCAGCACTAAAATATACCATTTTTTCTTCAGTTGAAGATCAGATGAGGGAGTTGACTTTCAAATGGCATTTAAGAGCCGGGTTATTTCAAACACACCTCTCTTCCAGGCTTAGAAGCACTCGTGGTGTTAAGATGCCCACACCATGAGAGGCAGGGACATTAGACTGAGAGCTGAGAAGCAGTCTTCCATCCAGCCCCTGGCTCCCACCTCCCCAAAGGTACCCACAGGCTATGGGAGAAGAAGCTTAGTCCCCAGTCAGCGCACTTTCTAGTACGTAATCCCCTACCCTAGAGTGTGGACTGAACCTAGTGTCTTACTCTAATCAACAAAATACAGCCATGATGATGGCTGGCCACTTCCGTGGTTAGGTTACCAGAGACTGTTGAGTTCCTCTCAGATGAAGCAAGCTGTCTTGTTCTGAGTCAAGGAACCCATGGATCCCCCAGTCAACAGGTCACAAGGAACTGAGGCCTCGGTCCAGTAACTTGTAAGGATCTGAATCATGTCAACATCCATGTCAATTGCTAGAAAGTACTGCAGCCTGTGAGAGACTGAGAGTCAGAGGGCCCAGGCAGATTCCTGAATTGTGGACACTGTGTAGGAAAAAAATATTCTTGTTTGAGGTCACAAAATTTGAGGGGTATTTTATGGATGGGGCTTCCCTGGTGGCTCAGATGGTAAAGAATCTGCCTGCAATGCAGGAGACCTGGGTTCGATCCCTGGGTTAGGAAGATCGTCTGGAGAAGGAAATGGCTACCCACTCCAGTATTCTTGCCTGGAGAATTCCATGGAGACAGAGGAGGCTGGCAGGCTACAGTCCATGAGGCTCCAAAGAGTCAGACACAACTGAGTGACTAACACTTTCACTTTCTTTATGGATGACACAATTGTTGTGGTCCGGGCACGGGTTGGAAAAGAATTTCCAGACATGAGACAGAATGAGAGGGAAATAAAGTTTATTATAGTGGGAGATCCTGTTAGAACAATGGGCCAGCTCAAGGGAGAACCAATGTTGAACAAAGGTCCTTAGACCTTTTATACCCAGACCTTAGACTTTTATACCCAGCATACAAGGAGTGAGACAGGGGTCTTGTGGGTCATTTGCTGATTGGATGAGGCACATATACTGGGTAGGGGAAGAGTAGGGCAAATACCTTCTCCCTATGGGGTAAGAGGGGAGACAGGTTATACTGTTCCATTAATAGTTACAACATGGGGGAGGGAAGGATGATAAGGGTCTGGTTTTCCCATTCCTGCATTCCAAGACCCTACTTGGTTTTATCTGCTCTTTCATCCTTGGGACACCACATTCCTCCCTCTCTATTTTTAGGGCCAATTCTTTGGCCCCTTTTGATACCCTGCTCAAGTCTAATTATCTACTTATTTCCCTTCTCAGGCATTTGGGAACCCAGTCTCAAAGGAAAAGGGGCGATGACCACACTGGCTTCTTCAGGCTGTAGAGGGGCGTTGTGGGCTCTGGGTTCCCTTCGCCTGGTCTCTGTCCAGGTGCACTTATGCAGAGAGATGAGAGTCTATGGAATGATAAGGTGGACTTGTTTCAGCATTGTCTGGGTGTTGGTTAGGGAATATTCTTGTCGTACTACCACTTGGGGATTTGTTGTATTCTAGAAGAAACAAACTTAATAACAAAGTTAAAGGTGTGTGGCCCAAAGATTAATAGAAGTAGAAAGCTGCTCAGAGGCTAGCCAGGAGAACCAATACCAGACAATGGTTCGTGACGTTAGTGTTTCTCTAGGTATGAGAAGATGCAAGAATTTGGGCTTATAAAATCTTTATCTGAAAATATCTATCTGAAGGCCGGTTCTTCTGGTTTTATTCCAGAGTACAGAGTGCCTTATTTCTGATCTCCACCCTGAACTCCATTCAGGGGGTGTTGGAGGTCAGCAGCTTGCAGTGGTCACGATTACATCATGACCTTTGTAGAGGCAGCTGGCAAGTGCCAGCTTCATCAGCAGGGTCCCTTGATAACCACACATTTGAGCATGTTTTGGGGGGATTTCATGGCCATTTAATCTATGGTGCTGGGAAGGCTCATTCTCGGGTCTAGGGAAGATTCCATTGATAGGCCACTCACTTAGTGCTGTTATTGGAACAGGCCTTGCGAGTACCAAAAGTCTCTGGACAATACCTGTCTTACTAGCCTCTTGGTCCAGGAAAATATCCCTTCCTGTTGCTTCTTCCCGTATCTAGAGTTACATTATTATAATCATTGATCTCATATGGAACTGCATATCAGCATGTTATCACAGGCTCAGTCACACATTTTGTAACGTAAGAAACAATCTTCTGAAACAAGCAACATAGAAAATAATATAGCTAGCAGTTATTAGTAAGGTCACAAGCAAGAATTTAAGTCAAGAACTTTCCTTAGGTGTAGGCCCAGTATACCCCAGGTCATCTGACTTAGTTAAATGATTATAGCCAGGTGTTAATCTCCTGGTTGTACATCATGGAGCATCTGATCTTTATCTGAAGATTGCTTACTGAGATAAGCTTTAGAAATAAACATAGAGTGTTCTTTTTAATAACTTAGTTAAATCTTTTAGCAATATACCATAACAACAAGGAACTATCTCAGAAGTGAGTCTTAGTAAACACTAGACCTTAATTAACAAAACTAGAAACTTAGTTTAAAATTTAACAAAACTTAGTATTCAGTGACCATAATTTTTTCATATTAACCCTGTAGCCAGGGAAGCCTTTAACCCATCAATAAATGAGGTTTGTCAGGGACCAAAAAGCCAAGTGATTGTCTTGGATCTCCCATAGCCCTGACTCTTTGATTTAACAGCTTCTGTTCACCCATTTTTAATTCCCTGATTTAGAAGTAGACCAGTTTGACTGTGTGGATCACAATAAACTGTGGAAAATTCTGAAAGAAATGGGAATACCAGACCACCTCACCTGCCTCTTGAGAAACCTGTATGCAGGTCAGGAAGCAACAGTCAAAACTGGACATGGAACAGACTGGTTCCAAATAGGAAAAGGAGTACGTCAAGGCTGTATTTGTCACCCTGCGTATTTAACTTATAT